CTCTTCCATTGACAGCTATTGTACTATACACTTCTACTTAGGTACAGATTATGTACCTTCTATCAAAGATTGTTAAATCTCTCTAAGAAATTGAAAACAACCACAACCACAGAAGGTGTGTATGTTACATTTCAGCATTTTTTTTTAACAACTTTGAAATTGAGATGTGACTTATAATATAGGTGGGGTCATAGATTAGATCTGTGGTTCTCAACCCTGGCTGCATAGTGCCCTCACCTGGGAAGTTTTCAACAACTATCATTGCCTGTATCTAACCCTCAGATGTTGTGTTTAATTGGTTAGGGGTGGGTCCCAATCATGGTAATTTGAAAAAAGGCTCCTCGGATGAAAGTAATGTGCAGGCAGGGCCAAAAATCATTGCACTGGCTAAAATGTTTTATGTGTGTATAGACATGTTTACTCTTGGTCAAGGCTTCTTGTGAAGTTTATTAAAAAGTGTGACAAAGGGAGAAAGATAGATGTTCCATCAATGCCTGATGACTAACTGCTGTCCCTACTCACCATGTCTATGCTTGATGAGCCTGCCTGCCATTTCACGATTTCAGTCACCAGAATGGCTATGGAATCAAAACTAGGAGAGCAGAGGAAATACAATGCCTTCTTAGAAAGTGCCAGAAATCCAGAGGCAGGGGGCTTGTAGCTTCTCCTGACTTGATTTCAGTGCTAGCAGATCTCTGGCGGTATTAAATGTGCGGAGAAACCGGTAGGATTTACTCTGTATATCTCACTGCGGGGGAGGGGGGCGAGGGGAAGGCCACACTATATGCAAAATTCTGTGGAACCTCAGGAAAGAGCCAGAGGTTCAAATATTTTAAAAGGGGGTTTGTTGTTGTGTGGTGTCTGCTGGTTGATTGCGGGAAATGAAAGTCAGTGCGTGGACTTCTGCCTTTGAAGTTCGCCTCATTTTCTTGTCTGCTTGGTAACAAAATCGAACATGTTTCTGCTTAGCTACATAGTTTAGATCTCACCCTTTTTGTCTCCTTCACAATTCTGAAGTCATGGTGTTTGGACTGAGTCTGAGTTGTTCCAAGATTTCCACCTGAGAAGCCGCAAGCCCCAAGAACACAGCAGGTGGCTGGGTGTGAGACAGGTTTATTGAGACTTACACACCAGGGAGAGGATCCGGTTGCGGCCGGCCAGAGTTGTCACACTCCGCACTCAGGCGGAGAAGCAGCAAGGTTACATAGGTACCGGTAAACAAAGAGCGTTCCGTAGGAGAAATCACCTGGCAGGCCCCGCAGGGCTGCTCTCATGCACACAGCGTCCCAAGAAGCTGGGGGACCTTGGCTGCTGGCTATTGTACAGAATTGGGTGTCTGATAAGCAGCATTTCCATGGAGCCAGGAGACCTTGACTGCCTGCCTGCTCATCTGTCTGTGGGCCAGGTCCCTTCACAGGGCATTTCAGAGACACTGGACAGACAGATGTGTTTGGTGTAAGAGGTTAACCTTCACTCTGTTGGACTGTCCATTATGCAGACGTTGTGGAGGTGGATCACAAGCTCATATTGTGGGTACCTGCTTCGTCCAGCCCCAGTGACTCCACACTGCGCAGCAAAACCAATTAATACAACCTTGATCTTGTTTGACCAGTTCTTCCACACTAATTTTCTTTTTGCTGTGGGCTAATCTTCAATCAGCAGGCACCTCCCCATAAGAAGTGGAATTGCTGTGAGTAACCTGAATTGCATTGAATTCCTTAAGTCCGTCTGCTTCTAAACCAGTTTGGCTCTCACAGCAAGATGGCATCATAGTGCCGCTGATGCCAGTCCTCCTTTTTGCCCATGTAATCGACTCCAGCAGCTTCCCTTTGCTGAGTGGCTGTCTTAGTAGTTGCTGAAAAGACTGAATCATTGCATTCCTTAAATTTACACCCTGCAATCCTGAGAGCAAATTCTCACACTGGTTTTGAAAAGACTGAATCATTGCAGTCCTTAAATTTACACCCTGCAATCCTGAGAGCAAATTCTCACACTGGTTTGAAAGCTTTGCTCCTTTTTCTGTGCATGCGAGATTATTCAGAAGGAATTAAGTTCAAGTAAGGTAACAAGGGTAAATATTGTAAAACCCAATTCTACCCATAGGAATTTATTTTCTGTCTGTTTCCTCCATGAGTTAAGGAGAAGAAAGATGTCTTTTACGCAAATATATTTTATTGAAAACTATTCTAGTAATATGCTGAAATGTTAACAGTGAGAACAAAGGCAAAAGCTAACTGAGAGAAAAGGAGACCTTCTGAGCCGGAGGGCTATTTTGCCCATTCCTGGTCTATGAAACAATTGGTTTTATTGAGCTTAGGCTATAGAATACCCTTGAGTTTATTTTCTGGTTGCTTGTTAGACACAATTAACTCAAGGGGGAGCCACATATCATTACCCAGGGTCCATTCTAGTGGAGATCTAGAGGCTTTCTCCATCGAGACTAAACAATCAGGGCCCTGTATTTGGTTTCTACGGTCGGTAAGTCCCTATAGAAGGCATTTACAAAGCAGTCCACAAGCATTTGGGCCAGGTTTAGTTGCATGCTGTTTACTGGTGGTCAGGAGTTAATGGCTGGATCAGAAGGCAGGAAATGGGAGGGGATTGTGGGAATATGGTACTCAGAGCATGTTTCTTCTGTCTCCATTGCCAACCATGTCCATCTGCTTTCCCCCCCTCCCCAGTCAAGTAGTTGCTGGGGTTACACATGACTGGGTGAGAGGGAGGTACATGAGGCCTTCTGATTGTCCCAGTGCAGAAACTGGTGTGAGGCCTTGTCTCCTGAGGGATGGACAAGCTCCTGCGGCTGGTAGAGCTTGGCCTAAAGAGATTCCTGCTCCTCCCTCTGCCCTAGCCACAGGGGAATTTCTACATCTAAAAACTAAAATATTTTCTAACTCAAAGGTGTTCTCCACAGTAATGGAGTTTATAGAGATTTAGTTTTCCCTCAAGAAGAAATGTTTTTCATGATTTGTAACTGAAATGTTAAACGGGCGGCTCACATGTCGAGACTGGTAGGAGGGGTGGAGATGCAGAATGGGCGGGTCCCACCCCCACGTGTGGTGGTTAAAAATAGGAAAGGATATTTAAGCTGTGGAGGTCTCCCCTGAGGAGCAAAGGATCCCAGCCCCACACCAGATTCCCCAGCCTGGGGTTCCAGTGCCAGGAAGAGAAGTCCCCACAAATGGTTTGTGGAAACCAGTAGCGATAATGGCTGAGTGAGACTGAGGGCTGCTGGAGTCCCAGGAGCTCCTCTTAATGGGCCCATGCACTGACTTACTCACTGACGGACTCACGGACTCTGGGCTTCAGAGCTGGGGCAGCACCTTGAAAGGCAACAGGCACATATGGGGAAGATCTGAATTCCTGGCTTAGGGTGAGGGCTGGAGGGGCAGCTTTCTCTTAGACCGAAGTGCTGGCAGAAGCCATTGTTCCTTTGTTGAGCCTTCCCCACACCCAGCCTGCACTTGCAGGCGGGTGCCATATCTGAGGTTCCATCAACTTGGCTAACACTGTTTGCCCTGCCCTGGTGATTCCCTGAGACCCCTTCCCACCCAACTTGCAGGCCCACCCATGCTATTTCCAGTGGCTTTTGCATACACATGGCCTCTCATGGCTCATGCTGCAGACTTGCCTAAAATCTCTCAAAGATTCAAAAACCTCAAATAAGCAGTATCTGGCCTCGGCATACCTCATACCTCTTGCTAAGCAGCCCCAAGCCCAGCAGTAGTAGTAGTACCTAGCCAATTTGAAGCTTAGCCTCTCCCAGGCACCTTCAAGCCCAGCACAAGTGGCAACCATTGGCAGATCACTTTGTAGCTCATACCAACTGGCTCCGGGCAGGGCACAGGCAATGGCTGATCTTGGCCTGCACCAGAGCCCCATCCCACGAGGCCCCAGAACCAAAACACCCAGTGGCCAGCTTCAGACCACACCAGAGTACCACCCAACCACCTCCACAAAAGACACAGACACAGGACACACTGAGCAGGCACCAGAGCCCAGCGAAAGTGAATCCTGCTCTCTAGGGTCAGCCCTTGCACAATAGGTCCTACACTATAGTCACAGTAAGTTCTTACAACCAATCAGCCTGAAACTCAACCCTTCCCATTGATGTGCCAACAGCAGTCAAGGCTCAACTACATCAGGAGGGCACACACAACCCACACCAGGGACACACCTGGAGTACCTAGTTCAGGTGACCAGGGAGACTGTGCCACTGGGCCCCACAGGACACCTACTACATAAGGCCACTCTACTAAGACTGGGAGACATAGCAGCTCTACTTGGTACATAGAAACAAACACAAGGAGGCAGCCAAAATGGGGAGACAAAGAAACATGTCCCAAATAAAAGAACAGAACAAAGCTCCAGAAAAAATGGAGACAATCTACTAGATGCAGAGTTCAAAACACTTGTTATAAAAATGCTCACTGATCTCAGTGAGAGCTTCAACAAAAAGATAGGAAACATAAAAATGAAGATAGAAAACATAAAAAAGAACCAGTCAGAGATGAAGAATATAGTAACCAAAATGAAGAATACATTAGAGGGAATGAACAGTAGATTAAATGAAGCAGAGGATTGAATGAGCGATTTGTAAGCTAAGGTAGCAGAAAACAACATTGAGTGCTGATCTTGTTCAATAAAATTACTGAAAGATAAGGTAGTTTCTCCTATCTGTTGTTCAGGTGACAAATCAGTTATATAGGAGATAGTTTCTGGAGAGCCTTCTTCTAAAAAACAGATTTATTTTCAAGGAAAATGACAAAGCAAAATTAACCTAAGTACAGATTTTTTTTTTTTACCTTGGAAACTTACTTTTTTATCTCAAAACTAAGTGGGAATATTTTTGCCATTATATAAATTTAACTTCAATAAACTAAAAATTGAACTCCAACAAGCATAATTAAACCACATTATTTTATTGTAAATGAAAATATACAGAAAAAATTAATTTAAAATTTGTAAACTTTTAAAAATGAACAGTATTTATAAACATTTGAGAAATAGAAAATTTCATGACCAGAGTTTATTCAAAATATTTGAGAACATTCCACATATGTTCATAGACCTTTCCAAAGTTTTGTTGGAATGTGAAGTTTGCAGTTAGTTCAGTTTTATTAAGAAAAATATTTGTTGGAATCACGTATTGATTTGTGTTGAGATAGTGTAATGATGGAATTTTCACTTGGGTTATTTTAAATGAGCTAATATGATAGAAATTGAGAAAAGATGAAGAGTGTATGAAAACTGGCAACTGATGGTCCTTATCTAGTAATAGGACTATAAGAATTAAAATGGTGATTCAAAAAAAACTAAATTTTATTAAATGCCTCATATGTCAGGTATGATGTAGGGTGCTTTCCATGTGTTTGATTTAGTACTCTTAAAACAAAGGTGTTAATTTCATGCTGTTAAATCTAAAGAGTTTAATGAACATTTTGCAATCTGAATTCACTGTTGACCTAAGAGTAAAATTATAAGTCAAAAAATAAAATGAAACTATTATGTTTACAGAATTAGGAAAAGCTTTCACCTTGGCTGTGTGAGGACAACTTTGTAATCCTTAATGACACATGTGCAGAGATTCACATAATAAATATTAAAATATCATGTAGGTGAGATAAAGAAAATATATATTAAAATACATACGTATGTGAAACAACCAGTTAACACTAACATTAATCTGACTATAAGGATCCAGCATTTTATTCCTCCTCAGACAATATCTTCCTACTTGGGAAAAATTATTCTGAGTTTGAGATTTGCAGTAACATTTTGATTTTTCAATGCATATGCCCACCCAGGGAATTTTAGAGTTTTTCAAATATTTCATTGTTTCTCAACATATTTCAACTCATTAAATTTTTCTCAGACTTTTTTGTGGGCATATGCGTCAACACCAGTTCATTTTCCAGTCCAGGGTACACACGGTCTCTAGTGTTTCAAGAACCTTCAACCCAGGCACAATGCACCAAGGGCAAAGTTTTGCAACGGGTGACATTAAAGAAATATCTGACACTAAAATTCACAGCCTCAGGTTGGACACCATTAATTTCCTCACCAAAAAGTTATCCTGGAGAAACCAATAGAGTTTTCAGTAGAAAGAAGAAAAACCTTAAAGGAATTTCTACATTTTTCAAACACTACCTTTTCCTACAAATTTGTGTTCATAGCTTATATATCTGATATACAATTAAAATGAAACATCAATCAACACAGTAAACACATATTTAACCTGAAGTATCAACCCATGTATCTTCCATGGATTATCAATTTTTAAATATTTAGAATGCACTGAATTGCACTCAACATTAAACTTCGCTGAAGAGTCTGTAACAGCACTTTAGGACTTGGCAGTCATGTCAGGTCATCACTGTGAACATCACTCACAGTTCAACAGCACTGGGGAAATGCTAAAGTCGGTGTAATAGAATTCTGAATAACAGAATTTATTATTACCCAGGATAGACCTGAGTTAGATTACAAACAAATAAATAGACAAAACTAATAACATTTGATGTTAGAACAGCAAAGTCCAGTCAACCAGAAAGGGTTTTGTTTTTTAAATGTTACGATTTTTTGGTTAGGATTTTTGTTTTGTTTTGAGAGAAGTATGTTTAGTCTGGAAATAAGATAGCTATTTTCTTGTTTTCCGTTAAAGCAATTAGTGATGAGAAATCTGTCCATAGACATTAAAGGCCACCAAAAATGTTATTCCTGCCATGCACTTGGAGTGAGACAGGAAAACTTTATGTACGTTTTCATACGTAAAAGTTTATTTGCCTGTAGTAGTCCCTGAGGTTTTAACATTTTGTTTTCTAGGAAGTTAACTCCACTTCCTATTCTCCCCAGATAGTTATCAATAAAATGTATGGAAAACATGGTCAGGATGAAATTCAACAGAAAAAGATAATCTACCGCTTATTGTGGTAGGACATGTATATTTTATAAAAGGTTTGTAACTAATTATAATTTCCTTAATGAGCGTCAAAGTGCCAAATTTCAAGCGAACAATTATGATAACTCATTCAGGTTTTTCACAAAGATTAGTTATTTCCAAACAGTTTGTGGAAAACCCACTCTTTGGGGATTAAACATTTGAGACAAATCAAAGTGTACACTATAATCCTAAAATAATGTAGCAATTACTTTATGAAAATCTCCACACCAACAAGAAAAATGACCGTTGGGATAATAGTAAAAGAAAGGAACAAAATGACCATGAAGAATTCCCAAACTGAATTCACTAGGACTTCTCCAGAAATTCAATTTTGTCTTATGTTGTTCAGGTCTGAGTTAAAAGAACTTGTGAACACAATCATTCGTTTTGGTGAAAACAAACAAAAAAAATTCTGTTTCATTTACCTAAGGTACAAAATATTTCCCTCCTCCATTCTTCCCCTTTTAAATAGTAATAATCTTCAATGATATGTCAATAAATTACAATTCATAAGCCCTGCATGGGCACATATGTTTTTGCATTCTAACCCTCTAAGGAGATTTCCAAAGCAGGTCTATTTTTTTTATTTAACACTTTACCCTTTATCTATCTAGTTTAAATAAAGGAAGTTGTGGAAGAGGAAGAAAACCATCAGTAACCTCACTTCTCAGTTTGAATAATTTGAAACTATGATTCATCTGAGAATGATTGATACTCTGCTTATCAGCATACAGTTGAGTTTATCTATGAATTACTGTGAGACTAAGAATAGCAGCCAAGGAAATGAACAGCCACTCTGCAGAGCCAAACATATTGTGACCAGAAGAAAGAGATAATTCTGAGACTATCTAACTCTAACTTCTTTTATGCTCAGGGAATATTTCATGTTTGTAGAAACAAGAAATAGCAGAAGTCTTCTGGAGAAAGATCAAAACCTTGATTTTCAAATTTGATGGCCAAAAATGAAGGCATTTTTATTTGGCCTCATACCTAAATTATTAGTTAGAACTTTAAAAATGTCAGCTTTCCTAATAGTTCTTCTAAGAATCAGGTATTTCTTCTCCAAGTGTCATATTGGTTCAAGTTCAGGGTTTGTAGAGACTTTGATTATCAGTCCTGCTAAACAAGGTAATGTCATCCTCATATCCTAGGGTTGAACATTCTATGTTCTCTAGTAAGACGTATTTGTCTTCATTGCCATTCAGGGAGAGGACTTCTTTCTGAGTAGTGGATGTCAGGTCACTCCAGGTAATGTCAGTGTTTTTAAAAGCATGTAGAAGGAAGATACCATTGATAATGGTGAGGAACCCACTGAGGGTTCCGATGATATCTCCAGCTTTCATGCCGTACCATTCTTGGAATAAGATGGCGGAGCAAGTCACTACCATGGATGTGAAGAACACATAATAAATGGGAGTCACAAGAGATGTATTAAAGGTGTCCAGTGCCTTGTTGAGATAGTTAATCTGTGTTGTCACTGAAAGCACAAGTACAGCCAGCAAAACAAAGACCAGTGGATGCTTGTAAACTGGCTTCCATTCCAACAGTTCCTTAATGGCAATTCCCAGGCCCTTGACAGAAGACACTGAAAATGCTCCAATCAATGAACAGATTGAAATGTAAACCAATATGTTGGTCTGTCCCTTCTTGGGAGCCACGATCAAAATCAGCACCAAGGCGATCACAGTTACAATCACAGCAAAGGAAATGAATCCTGTTAGGAAGAGAAAAGAATTAGACTTCAGAAAATGCTCATATGATCATGTCTTTGTGAAATCTTGTTAGTCATGAATTTTGGTGCTTACGTGTTTTAGAAAGAAAAGAGATTAAATTTAAAAACCACAACTTTTACTGCATGGCTCTTGATATTTTACAATGGAGTTTTACAAACATGTCTTTTGAATCTTGCAGATAACACTATGAGGTATGGCAGATATTGTTTGATTGACTTTTTATTTTTAGAGGGAGAGAGTGGCCAAAGTTTAGATTGGAGTTTAAGTCTGGTGCTTCTAGCCCCATCTGTCCGTTTCATTGTGTAGAGCGGAAGCATGGATGGAAAAATAAGTTGTGTCACCTTTTCAGAAGACTTGTAACCTTAGTATATCTCATACCCCACAACTCAGCTTGTAGGAGGTCTATTACAATATCACTAAAAATTCATTTGATGAGGAGAGAAAGTGGAGCAGCATTTGAGTGAGTGTTTCTTTCAGCTGATTCACAGACCTGGGTCTCTCAATTTCATTTCCATTTCATGCAAAGAAGTTACTTCCTCTTCTTGTGGGGCATGGATAACCATCACAGTTGACCCCAATATACTTAATATGCAGCCTATTTTCCCATGAATGTTCAAGTGCTCATTTAAAAAATAGGATGACAATATTGCGCTGTTGGGAGAAGAAAGAAAAAAAAATCACTCTTGTTCAATTACCTTTTGATTCCATAGCAGCTCAAAAGTCATACTGTGGTACATGCCACTCTGTATCCCAATCAGCTGATTTGAATATGCTACATGACACTGAATAACCTGATTAATCTTAAAACTCGGGGAAAGACGGTCAATCCAATCTGCTTAATTGCTTCTATATCTAAAAAGTCATAATAGACATTTGATACCCCTGTAATCTTCCCATGACCTTCTAAGAGGTCCCACTCAATTCGTTTTCAATTTCCCCATCTTACTGGCAAGATACATTTAGAATACGTGTGCTCATGAAAATTTCAAAGAAAGATATATGCCTAAAGAAGAATTATTCTGCTGGGGCTGATACTTGGCTAGTACACACAAGTACCCTCATGGGTTGTCAAAATACTGAACTATTTTCTTACCAGATGCTACTGCCCTGATACGTTCACCTATAAATGCTCCTGCTTACTTTGGTTGCCATGGCCTCAGAAAGTTCCAAATTGGCACCACCATGGACACCAGACTATGCCATCCTGCTGTTCCACGAGTACATCTGCTGTGGCTCCTGCACACCAGACTTCTGATGCCCTGGCATTACCAGTGCCCATTTGCACCCAAGACTGTCATCAATTACCAGGTGCTTTCCAAGAGTCGCCCTCAGGTGGCCACTCATGAGGACTGCAGCCTCAGTGAAAAAACGATCATTCATCGCATAGTGTTGTAGTGCTTTATGTGTATTGCCTCATTGAATTCTCACGACAGTCCTATAAAGAAGGTGAACTGAGGTGGGTACTCTCCTAGTCATCAGCTTTCTATTAGAGGCTGATAAAGAACTGAGATAAAAGGAAATGAAAAAGGTAACAAACAAAAGTTTCTTAGCTACAAAATAAGAGAATTCATGGACACACTGGCCATATTCATTTGGGAGCCTAAATAGAAAGCCCCAATTCGGAAAAATTAAAATCCACGTTCTACTATCACTCTAGTACTAAAAGAAAATATTTCCAGTACTGAAAGAAATGAAGAGATCTCCAAACAGAAGTATCCAGCAGACAATGCAAGACTTTGAGTGAGAGTTGAAATTTAACCCAAACACTTTTTAAAGTCCTCCAGTAGCAACGGTCATTAGCGATTAGGATTAATGGATTAGAAAATATTAAAAGGCCTGTGGCAATTTGTTCTGGTAAGAGAGAAAAATATCTGCTAGGCTTCGTTGAATTGTCACAAATATAACATACGATTACTTCATGTTAGCAGGCAACCAGGCTTACTGTCTTCGAGTTTTCTAAATAAGACAATGTATTGATTTCCTATTCCTACTACAATTTACTACTGTGCAGTCTTCTCAAGTTATTTTTGTGATTTTTAAAAGTTTTTTTTTTTGAGATATGCTTAGTAACATATTTCTTGTGGGTTGTTTATCGTGTTTTAAAATCCCGACAGAAGCCACGTTCCTTATTGCACACGTACCTTATGAGAACACTCAGGGCGCCCAGCGGGGTGACCAAGGTGGCAGGTGCAAAAGCATAGGCTGCAAAATTCACAGCCTCTCCTGCTGCCACTAGAAAGCAAGCAGTGGTATTAACATTAGTCAGAAGAGAAAAACAAATGACATGCACCAAGCAGTAGGCTTGTATCCCAAAAACAATGGCAGATCTAGGGGAAAAGGAATAATTTAAGTTTTTTTATGGAGGGTGGGGAAGTGTTGGTATTTAGGGATGCTGACAAACTGTAATTACCTGGATACAAGCTCAACTATGCAAAAAGTGGTGACAGATGAATACACATTTTAAATGACTTTCAATGAAGATTTTAGTTACTTCAGTACCAGAAACATACTTGGTCACTGAGATGAAATCTAGTAGAGGTAGCTTTGGAGTAAGCAGAGAATTATTGTGTTTGCTCAAGAATACCTACTGTTATGCAAATTAACAATACAACAACTTGTAAATTTAGAATGCTCTGTAGAGAGGTCTACTGCCCAGGCAGGGGGCAGCCAGAAATGCCTACCACAGGCCCATGTAGTCAGGCATCTCTGAATTGCTGATCTACAAGCATGTAACACTATCTTCCTAGCTCAAGGAGATCCAAGCAGCTGTTTTAAAGTCATAACAATGTGCTCCAGCAATCCCTTTCTTACCTGAGGAACTCTAAACTTCCATGAGATACTGTGATGCAAATAACTTTCAGAGTGAGGGAGATCTCCGCTAAGAGCTGGGCTCTTGTGTTGGGGCCAAGTTATTCTCACAGGTCGCCACTGAACACTTACCCACAGAATGGAATATTTCACACTGGGAAACTATGCCAAGCAAACTCATTGTAGAGCGAGCTTCTGGAACTGGTGAAAGACACCAGCACAGGTTTTCTTTTTCCCTCTGGCTGCTATGACCCCGCCTCACGCCCTGAGCCAAATCTACGCCCTGAGCCAAATCTACAGGAGCACTCACTCAGCTTCAGGAAAACATCACATGACAAATAGAAACTAACAGAACAGAACTGTTAGGAGACTGTGCTCCTAAGAAGAGCAATGGCAGTTTTCTTAGAATAGTAAGCTTTCTTGAATACTTTATAGTTTTATCTTTATAGACAGCTTTCCAGGAAAATATTGATTCATCCTTAAAGTACTGGATGTTTGTCACTGGATAAAATCTCTAATGTTGAAGACTTATGCTTGTCTTTCTTTCTTCAACACTGGTATAAACTTTGTACATGATGAGAATAATGTTCTAAATGTAGCCACATAATAGTCTCCTTATATTTTTATTCTGTTGTGTGGGTAGAGAGTGGGGAGATGCAAGTGGGAGAGAGGGTGGGAGAGGGAGAGAGGGAGGGAGGGAGGGAGAGACAGGGAGAGAGAGAGAGAGAGAGAGAGAGAATCATCTAAATATCGATTAGAATTTTCCCAGCATAGTCTTTGTCAACTGTTACTCAAATGAAGAAAACAGATGGGAAACACCTTAAAAACTAAGTATACAAATTTAGATTATATTTATTCATTATTTTTAAACCCACTATTGATTACAGAAAAGTATTCCAATTCTTTCTTATAACAGGATCTCACAAATACTGCAATGTGTTACTTTTATATGGAAAAATAAATGGAAGTTTTAAGGCTTCTGGCTGCAGAGGGAGATGACTAGAAAGTGGTGTGACACTACAGTTTATGAGGTCCTTTCTTTGGAAGTTTTCGGTTTGGGGTTTAAGAAAGTTCAGAGGTGTTAGGACAGAGATAGAACTCTGCAAAAATGCCTGAGGGAGATGACACTGTATTTTATTTGGACACCACCTTAGCATTTAGAAAGTGCGTTCACATTCTAGAGTCTCATTTAATCCTCTGGGCAAGTCTAGGAGGAAGGGAGAGTGCTGACAACCTTCATCTCCTCATTGGTTCACTGCTAAGCAGTCAGAGGGGACATTAATTGATCCATGTTTTGGTCCTGGCCAGGAAAATGTATCCATTCCTTAGAAAACAGGCAGCTAGCGTAGTCACAGATTTGAATAAGGAGCTGGGAAAATGGTGGAAGAAAGCATTTCCTTCAACTGTTATGAGGAATAGAATATAAGAGGAGACGTTTATGATAAAATAGAATACTTCAAACGTTAACTTTTTTCCTTGCATTCCAAGGCAGTATTGAGAACATGGGGGTTGGGGAGGGAGAGTTAAGATTAATTCTCAATACATATGACTTATTTGATATATAAGACAATATATTCTACCCACAACACGTTTCCAGACTGAAATGCCATCTTTACCAAGAGGATACATTAATTAATTTTGAACAAGTCCATGTAATTTATCATTTTAGAAGCAAACACTAGTCTCAGCAATAAGGACTTACTTGAGAGTAATCCTGCCCACCAAAGCCATTCCTTAAGGTAAGAATGTCCACCTTGTCCTAAGAAAATAATAAAAATGAAAATTAAGTTTGTAAGTGGAGGAAGAAGGTTTGGAGAACTGACTTCTAGAAAAGGTACTGAAATATGGTTGGAAGAGGCCAGACTTAAGGCCAATTAAATTTTATTTTATTAATATTTAATATTTACTTGGTCATTTCCAAAGATCTTCTAATACTTTCTATTACATCAACTTTGATTTCTATAGAAAGTAAGTTTTTTTAATCATCAGGTTTACTATATTTATGCTATTCAGAGGTGTGGACATAAAAAAACCCCAAAAAAGTGTTATACTCGTAAGTTCTAAATACTTTGTTTTAGCAACAGTTAAAATTAAAGACACAAAATCATAAATCATGAATTACATTAGTACCTAATGTGGACCTTAAAGGGAAGAAAATGGTCAACATGAGAGTTTTAGAGATTTTAGACAGTCAATCAGAGAATAATGAGCATTAGCCAGCTGAGCTCTACTCTCTACCCTGGCATCACAAAATTAAATTTGTGTCTAGCCTCCTGAAAAGGACATAAAGCTTTCCTAAGGTATTCAAAGAGTTATCTTCCCACTCCTGTAATCTGTGACATTAAGTCATTGTTATGCTTGCTGTAGAAAATGGAATTTTCTCACCAATTTCAATATACTTATCCCTGTGAGTCTGACCTATCTGATTTTGTTAAACTAGGCAGGATATGTTAGCTGTGAAGATTATATTGTAAGGTAGTTAACTATATTTACTTAGGATTCTCTCCTTACAAAATTTGCAAATGACTAAATTGGAATTATAATACAAAATGATTTCATAATCTGTCTTTAAAAAACTTAATATTTCACAAATACTTTCTCGTGTCCTTAATTAATAGTTGAATATTCCAAAATCCGGCATATCATTATTTACTTAGCATGTAAGAGACCATATGTATATGTTTCTAGTATTGTTCTCATTATATAAACCCTTAAATAAGTATCCTGGTATGTAAATCTAGGTGGCATCCTTGTGCACTTCTTAAGATAAATTCCCCAAAGTGGAAATACTAGGTTTTAAGACATTAAGATTTTTAAGCTTTCCCAAATTACTCTCAGGAAAGTTTGTGCCGATGTAAACTGCCTCTAGCAACGTTTGGGAGGGCTACCTATTTCCCAAAGTCCTTCTCTAACATACAGCATTATCTTTTAAAGAAAAAACACATATTTTGTTAAAATGGTAGGCAACAACCTAGGAGCTCATTGTTATATAGTTGGTATCTCTTCGGGTGAAACAACATTTACTTATGTATGCTTATTGGCCACGTGCATTTCTCACTTTGTGAGTTTCTTGTTTCTATGTGCTTTGCCTAGTTTCTGTTAGGGTACTAATCTTTTCTTATTGACTACAATCACTCTCTCTCTCTCTCTCTCTCTCTCTCTCTCTCTCTCTCTCTCTCTCTCTCTATATATATATATATATATATATATATATATATATACTACCCTTTGTCGTATATTTTGAAATCCCCCCCATATGTCATTTCCTTTTTAGTTTCAGTTAAAGGTGTTTCCATATAGGATTTATTTATTTATTTATCAACCCAGATAATCTCTTCCTTTATATAGAATAGATTCTTCCTTTATCTTTATGCTTAGAAAGACCTTCTTTTAGTTTTCTAAAAAAATTATTTCATTTTAAATTGAACTCTAAACTATGTAGAATTTATTTTGATGAGTGGTATAAAGTAGAAGTTTTATATTTTTCTGCTGTAATTTTTGCCAATTGTCTCAATACTTTTGATTGAATAATTCATTCTCTCTTCAGTAGACTGAAATAACACTTTAAAAAAATCATACATTAAATTGTTGTATGTACTTGGGTCCCCTTATAAGTTTTTAATTGTCTCTTATTATTTTGTGTTATCTTTTTGAATGCCAGTACCAAACTATTTTAATTAAGACAGCATTATAGCATGTTTTCATTTTTGATAGTGCAAATATCCCCTCAATAGTACTCTTTTATAAACTTGTTTGCACAATTTATAGTCGTTTATTTTTCCACCTGAACCTTAGAATAATCTTATCTCTTTTCTGATATTATTCTTGATAAGAATAAATAGGAAATTCATGGTTAATGAAGGGTAGTCAAGCAGAGCTACTCAGCAGGTGACACGTCACTATTAATAGCAACCTAATTCTATTGTTATCCATTGATTGATTTAACAACTATTTACTGGGTGCCAAATACTATGTTAGGGAAGATTCCCATTCTTGTGAATCTACTATCAATAAACAAGTAAACCTGTTGAGAACAAGTACATAAACAGTAAATGTACAATAACAAATTATTCTAGGTATAATGAAGGAAACCATTAGTGCAGTGACAGAGAGTAACAGTGTGGTGGTGAGGGAGACCTGCCCAGAGAGGATGGCCAAGAAAGGCCTTCCTGGGGCGATGATAAGCTGAGATCTCAAGGATGCATCAGACAAGTGAAGGACAGGGAGAAGAGTGTTCCAGCCCAAGAGAAAAGGCCTTGAGGTAGGAAACAACTTGGTATGTTCCAGAACCAGAGAAAAAGAAGGTGACTAGGAACATAGCAGAAGATGAAGCTGAGAGGTAGCAGGAGCCATTTCATGCTGGAGGTCCGAGTCTATGGGAAGATGTTTAGATGGTATTCTAGGGGCAAAGAAAAGCCACTGATGTGTTTCACACAGGAGATTAGCATGGTCGGGTTTTGACTCCTGAAATTGCAGACTAAAGCTATGAAAGAATCCATACCACACTCTAAACCTCATGAAGCAAGAATTTTAGTCTCTCCCTAAAGGAGACATGGCTGGCTCAGTCCTGTCTGAGAAGAGAATTGCTAAGAATGGAGATAGAGGCGAAGATAAATAGAGACTGTAAACTATTATTACTGTAGAATTATGATTTTACAGTAGGATTATTCGTGCAGTTAGAAACTTGAATTCATTAGTTGCATCCATTTCTTACCAGCTCTAACAGCGCCCTTATTGGCCAGTTGCAAGAGGCCCTTCTTTTTCAGTATGAAACTGGAGCCAATAAAAATACTGGAACTTACTGCCAGTACCAGGCCTACATAAAGACTGTATTTGTTTTCTACATTTGCAGAAATGCTCAAGTTGGTTAGGCTGGAATTCAGGTCCCTGTAGAGGACAGGAACATCCAGCAGCTGTGACACATTTGTGATCTCACACCAAGCCTGGGAGGAGTTTGGACAGACCAGAGACAGCACGTAGCCTGCAAAAAAGGAAAGAAGGAAATGTCAACACATGAAAGAGAGATGCATTCATGTTTACTCCCTTTTTGCAAGAAAAAGAGTGGATGGTACTGAAACACTGTTTTTCACTGTAGGAACCGAAGTTCCCAGCAGGTGGTCCTGTGGACCTGTTGAGTTTGGCTCATGCAGGTTCTTAAAATTTTTTTTTAAATTTGTTTAGTTGTCGTCATTTAAATATGAGAGATTTTTGCATGAAAGTCTGGATTCCTCTTATAAATTGCAAAATCTTGGCAATACTTGGTTCTTTGTTCCAGAAAAATAGTAACCTGCTGGAGCAGCAAGTAGCTGGTTAGACCTGGCTTGTGTTCGGCAATTCATCACTGCCCCTCTCATGCCCACTTCACTCCTTTATATTATCAGCCTGGCTCCTGGAAAACGGTGTCTGTGACACTTGAATGTAGGAAAAGGGCACAACAGCCCCACTGGTCTCGCAATCACCATGTTACAGGAAATTTAACCCATTTGGTGGGGTATGAATTGTATACTTCAGAAAATGTGTTTAAAAGTGGGTTTAGTTTTCTATACCACTTTCCCCAAAGAGGATGATTTTTCAGGTCTATAGTCTACCTTCTCCTAAATAAAACCGAATCTAATAGAAAAATGAATTAACCATCAATAGGCTTCTTTTTTTTAGAACAGGATACAAATAAGCATGTAAATCCCCTGAACCAGACCCATTATAAGCACCTTGGAATTTTGAAGCTAAACACTAAAACACAAAATGAAAACATTTTACCCTATATAAGAAACTTTTTGTTATCTGTTCTCCACTTGAAAAGCTGTCAACAGGTGACATTGTGACTAGATTTTCTGACTGTCTTTTCAATGTTTTTTTTCATTTTAAAAGACATATTTTCCCATTATGAATTACCCTAAACAAAAAATGGNACATTTTACTTTTTTTAACCAAGCTGTCAATCTCTGCTTTTAGTTAGCTCATTTATTGTGATTACTTGTTTGGTAATTATTGATGTGGCTGGATAAAATATTGAAGAAGTTTCTTTAATATTTCTTATAGTGTTGATTTGCTAGCAATAGGTCCTCTCCATTTTGTTTGTCTGAAAAAAGGTCTTTATTTTTGAAAGCTGTTTTTCCTTGGTATAGAAGTATAAGTTGACAGTATTTCTTTTCTTTTAGCACTTTAAGGATATTATTCTATTGCCTTTTAATTTACATTGTTTCTATTAGAAGGCTGTGACTATTCATTTGGTTTTTTTCCACAATATGTAATGTGTCTATTTTCCCCCTCTGGCTAATAAACATTTTTTTTTAACCAGTTATTTTCAATAATTGGGCTTCTATTTGCCTGGGTGTGATTTTCTTTATGTTTATTCTGTGTGGGTTCATTTGAGATTCTTGAGTATGTGGGTTAATACTTTTTATTAATTTAGAAAATTTTGGGCCACTATTTCTTCAAATATTTGCTTCTACCTCCTCCCTTCTAGGACACCAATTACACATATGTTGAGCTGCTTAATATAGCCTCACGAGTCTTGGAGGCTGTGATGTTTTATCTCTTGCTTCAGTTTGGACGGCTTTGATTGCTATGTCTTCAAGTTTACTGATGTTATCTTCTGTATTATCTATTCCTCTGAATAGATATGTGGTAAGTTTGTCATTTCAGTTTCCTTCTAATTTCCAGAAGTTCCATTTGTTACTTTCATATTTGTTTGTTCATTATGTTTTTTTTAAATTCTTGAGCATATTTATGATAGATATTTTATTTACTGATTGTTTATCCTGATTATAGATCATATTTTCCTGCTTCTTTGTGTGTCTCGTAGTTTCTGACTCAGTGCTAGATATTATGAGGTTATATTGTGAAGGTTTTGGATTTTGTTCCCTCCCTAAAAGAGAGAAAGGGAGGTAAGTTACTTGAAGCTTAGCTGGATCCTTTACAACCTTGTTTTGAGATTTGTATGATAGATTAAGAATATCATTTACCTTAGATCTAGTTTAGCCATATTCCTAAAAACATGGCTTTTCTGTGTACTCTGATAATGCCTGTGTCTTCAATGAGATCACACTATTCTGACAGTTTGGAACTGGACTCTAAGCTTTGTGTGAACTCTGGTAATTACTTAACATTTAGTTCCCTGGCAGTGATATGCTATATGTTTATTTTAAAGACTTAAAATTATCAAATACAAACGTATACTACTTCATGATAGATTCCTTCCTACTCTGAATCCTTCTGAGCCCTTCTGTATTTAATTATGTTGTTTAACTAGATATTTGATACTCTAACAGTGAATTATTAATTAATTCATAGTAAGCTCCAAAAACTGTCTTTCAGTAAAATAATAATAATCTTAATAGTTACCATAATTGAGGAACTGATTTGTTCCAGACACTGTGGGAAGAGTTTTATGTAGATTACCTCTCATTACCATAACCTGATAAAAAGAATCCCCCATTATACTGATGAGAAAAAACAGAGACTTAGGGAAGTTAAACAATTTGTCCAAGACCACAATGCTATTGGTAATTGACAAAGCTAGGAGGCAAGTCTACCTTAGTCTAACCCCAAAGTCTATTAAATTTCCAGTTTTCCAAGCAGCTATTAACATCAAGTGCTAATACTATTCTATTACTCAGCTTCTCCTAGATGTATAGGAGGATTAACCAAATTCTATCAGTTTTCAAGGTCAGTAAAATTCAGACCTAATAATAAATATTTTATTTATTTTAAATTGCATAATAATTTGTGAAGGGTCTTATAATTTCATTTACCATAGAATGATGGTAACTTGGTGTGTACACAACTCCTAGCAGTAGGATTGTGACTGTATAGGCTCTAAAATTTGATTTCATTTATTCATTCAGTGGGTCTGGCTTCANCGTAGACTGTCATGAGTGACATTAATTTTGGAGACTTTTATTCCCAACAAAAAGCATGGTGTTTATTTAACCAAAGAAGGGCATTCAAAACCTCTAACTAACCCACTCCATGACTCTGGGAAAATTCCTTTTCTAACTCAAAACTTAAGATGTGATAATAAATGAGAACCTCTAAAATGTCAGCTCCTGTTTTATTGGTCTTTATGCTAGGTCACCTAGACCCAGTAGTGATGGTCAAAATAATGAACATGGTCAAAATAATGAACAATCAGTAGAGCCTTAAGGTCTCAAGGGACAAGGCCATAGGTTCTTTGAGTAGGATAGGGGTCTGAGAGGATCCCTATTGTATGAGGCTTTAATCTTTCAGTTGCTAGACTGTAGAGAGGTCTGAGGTTCCTAAGGCAGGGGCTGAAGTGACTAGGTCCCAGGGGTGGTTCTTGGGAGGGGGCTTGACACTATTTGTAGAAGTTGTAGTCCTGCCTAGCATTGTGCCAAGTCTACTGTGGGAAACTCGTGATTCCTTATTTTTTTCTCAATCAGTCTCGCTAGGAGGTTATCAGTTTTATTAATCTTTCCAAGAACCACTCTTACCTTTATTGATTTTCCTTACTGATTTTAAAATTTTCATTGACTTCTGCTATTTTTAATTACTTTCTTCCTTCTATGAGGTGTGATAAAAAAATGCGGTGAATGTTTAAATAAGAAAAAAATTTATTACAGTAAAAGACACATTGCCATTAATCCCCTCACAATACTCCCCCTTGCTTTGAACACACTTATCCCATCGTTCTTGCCACTTTCTGAAGCAGTTCTGGGAGTCCTCTTTCATGAGTGTCTTTAGTTGCACTGTTGTGGCTGCCTGGATATCCAGGACCGATTCTAAATGTTTTCCTTTCATGGTCTTTTGCCTTTGGGGAAGAGCCAGAAGTCGCACGGTGCCAGATCCAGTGAATAAGGTGGATGAGGACACACTATAATGTTTTTATTTGACAGAAATTGCCATGTCAGAAGCAATGTGTGACACAGAGTATTGTTATGATGGAGAATGAAGTGAAGTCACTCATGAAAGAGGACTTCCAGAACTGCTTCAGAAAGTGGCAAAGGATGATGGGATAAGGGTGTTCGAAGCTAGGAGGAGGATTTTGAGGGGAATTAATGGCAATGTGTCTTTTATTGTACTAAATTTTTCTTATTTAAACATTCACCGTATTTCTTGATCACACCTTGTATATTGAGTTCAATTTGGTTTTCTTCTAGTTTCTAAGGTGGAAACATAGATAATTAATTTGAAACCTTTATTCTTTCTAGTACAAGGATTTAAAGCTAACATTTGCCTTCAAATACAGCTCTAGCTGTATCTCACACATTTTGATGTTTTGTTTTTATTATTTAGTTCAAAATATTTTAAAATTTTCTTTGTGATTTCTTCTTTGGCCCATGGATTATTTAGGAATGTGTTACTTGATTTCCAAATATTTGGGGATTTTCCAGATATCCTTCTGTTATTGATTTCTAATTTAATTCTCCATTTACATTGAAAGTAATTGTTAATAGATATGTAGGTTTTGNAAAAAAATCAGTTTTACATCTCAAAAATCTTAAGAAGGCATAATAAATCTAAAACAAAACAAAACAAAACAACAAAAGACGGTTTGACCAAAAGATGTCTTAGCACCAAAACTTTACTAATTGGACCTCTGCCTCCCTGGCAAAATATTATGAAGTCATTTGAATTTTACCACATATAAAGTTAAGAAACAACCATAAAGTTCAGGTCGAGAAAAAGGTAAAATAATTGAATTTAAGCTTTTCATGATTATTTCATTGATCTCTGACACTTGAAAATGAACCAATTTTGATTTAGAGCTACAGGATAAATTCTGACACAAAACTTCTAATATGCCAAGGAGAATTATATGATTTCAGGGATATTCTATAACATTGAGGAATTTTCAGTCAGGTTGTTTTAGTAAGAATTGCAGCAAATTTTCAAACAAGCTAGCCCTTAACAATCTTGTTCTGCGCACTATTCACCTCACCTAAACCCTAAGAATGGAAAGCAATTTTTATAGTAAGAATTTTGGTTATGTTGATTCCTGAGAAAACATCTGACTGGGCT